CCTACTGATGAATCCTTCTGTGACTCAGTGTTACTATAATGCTACTAAAGAGGGTCATTAGACTCAAATTATTCACCTTAGATTAGACTTTAACTTTGATGCCTAGGAATGAATATTTTCAAGGTAGGCTTTTCCCTAGCTTGTTGTTTGGGTGGGAATCTCAGCATCCACTTCCCAGCTCCTTCCTCCAATAATCCCTATTGATATCATCCCTGTTCTCAGCTGTGAAGCCAGTGACATCTGGGAAGTGAGGCTCTCACACCATCAAGCCTGCAAGATGGCTGGTCACTCCCAAAAAAAATGAGGTCACCAATGGAGTTTTGATATGAAAAGTGAAGAAAACTGATAAGAGTCTATCCTTCCCTAAATAGAGAAGCTCAGAATCGGTAAAAAGATCAGGCATCATTTCTAACCACTGATCCCAAATAGTTTTCACATAATTCAGTCTGCTAGATTCCAGGATGTACTTAAGAGTTATAGAAAACCGGTGAGGATATTTCCAAGAAAACAGACGATCTCATTGACATCCAGTGGACAGATGTATCATAGCACAGTTATAGAGGGACAGAGGAATGGGAAATAACAGAACCAGGAGGGTACAATCATGCCACCCATCTTCAATTTCCAGTTTTATTTTCTGAAAATGACAAAATGATAAAACTTCTAATAAGCACCATTGAAAAAACATTGCCCGGCCAACTTGGGCACGAGCTTAAATATTATTTAAATAATTCCATTTCTTAAAAAATACAGGACCTTTTAGAAACTTGACTCCAGGAAGAAATTTCCCGCATCATATCCAAAATGCTTCCCATCACAACAAATGGAATTTCTGATGGACTTAAAAAAAAAAAAATGCTATGGGGATAATGGCCGTATAGCACCAGGAGATTGTTCAGGGTCTACAAAGTGAACACTCCAGATTTCAGGGGAGCTGGATGAGGCCCAGCTATTTTGTGTAACTTTGCATTCTGTCCATCACCAATCTGACTATGCGGAGTGATCCCATTTGACCAGCTGTGTGTAAAATAACCCAATCTGCAAAGCCAAGGCCAATAGCAGCAAGTCTATCTGATGAAACCAGTGCAGCAGACTTCTCAAGTGAGTATAATGCCAAAACCAGCACATAATGCATGAAGTAAATTATGTGTGGAAAGGATCAATGTTCAACTGTGAAAAACTAAGACAAACGACATTGAATACAACTCTGAGGGATGTTCTTAATGCCCTTAGGTCCGCTTTGCTGTCATTTCCCCCAACGGTGGACTTAAGCATGAAAAATGACAGATGCAAGAGCTTTCTCTTTGATTTTGATCTATGTCTGTTCTTGTGATGTTTTTGGAAGGTATTTTTAGGCGTCTCAAAGGGGAAACAACAAGTAAACGCAAAGGGGGAAAAAAAAATGGACCTTCAAAACCAGGGCAGGAAATCAAATCATTACTTTAACGTCAAATTTTGGCATCAAATGCTTTGGTCATACAATACTGTCTCTGTGGTTCTGGCTGTTTAGCACTAAACACCCAGGTATAAAAGGTAGGCTTGTTGTAGGTTTATTTTTTTTTTTTTCCATTTAAGTTCTGACAAAAGAGTTCACCATCTCCCTGCACAAATTTGAGAGAGAGAGAAAGAGAGAGCGAAAAAGAGAGAGGTGGCTTGCTTTTTTTTTCTTTTTTTTTTCTTTTTAATAATAATATGGAGTAATCTATAAGTCTACAGGAACAGAGAAATCTAAGATGGCCGCTCAGCCTTGGAATGTACATGTTTTGCAGCAAAGTTGTTGAAGAACCTTCCTCTGGCACAGATTGTTCTTTTTCACTAGCATACAGAAGCCTCCTTCGGCCCAGGACTCTTCCGTTGCTTTTCCAGGAAGTCAGCAAGACAGAGGGGGAGGTGAGGACGAGGGCAGCATGATGTACACGTGGAAGAAGGTTTTGATTGGCCAGAGAGGCAGATGGGGGGATTGGAAGAGATCATTGAGGAGCAGTCAACAAGGAGGAAATTGGGTCCACGCAAAGTGATTTCAGTCAACAGCATTGTTTTTCAAGAAGAGAGATTGCGGTCCAGTGGTAAATGTGATTGGTGTCCATTTATGAAAGGAAAAAAAAAGGATTCGAAAAAAAGAATAAATTAGAAATCAATAACAATATAAGTAAGGAATTTGTCTTCTCAGAATTACCTAGAGCAGAGAGTATACAGTCATTTATACTATATTTCATTGAGTCCAAGACACTGGATTTAAGATGCACCATTATTTTATGTACTATCGAGAAAAGAATGTGCTTCATGCATCTTATTACATGGTGACCCAAGAGCCTCCTCAATTAGAATATTAATGTTATGCTTATGGAAATACTAGTTAAATATTAGTTCTATAACAGGCTGTTTTGTTGCTGTGCTTATAAAGACTCTTCCTTTGATTATTAAACAATTATTTGAAACTATTCCAAACTATAGTTCAGTTCAACACATGTAGTAGTAACCATGTACCTAAGTCCGTGACAAAGTCACAGGCAAGGACAGCTGTGTCACATCAACCTAGCGGACAAAAGTGGCTGCAGGCTGCCATAAATTATAAGATGCATCTGATTTCAGGGATGTTAAAATGTTAAGAAAAAAAAGTATGTCTTAGAATCATTGAAATATGACAGTTGAAAGAGAATAAATCACAAACTCATAAATGCAATTGCTACGTGATTTGAAAAGCCTGGTGAGCCACCGGTGATTTCGTGATTTAGCTGACCTAAAATGGGCTCATTACGAGAGATGGTTCTTCATTTTCTACTCTTTCCCACAATCCTGGATGCACCCCTTCTACCGGCGTGCCATCTGGCATAACTTATCCCAGGTTTAGCATGGTTTAGAGAAGGCAGTTAAAGCATCACAGACGTGGCCATGCCTGGCACCAAGTGCTGTGGATGAAAATTTCAAGCGTCTGTGGATCATTTGAGTCCAGAAAATCTTCCTGTTTCCTGTCACCAACTTCAAAATTCTGGTCAGATCCAGGTATGGTACCATGTTTTTACGTAAAAAGTGATACTTACATGGTCCCTGAAGTGCCATCACCCCAACCCTGTATCCCTGCGCTGTGTGGTGAGAACACAGAGCCTGAGTGGGTCTGGCCCGTCCCTGCTGGACTAATCCTATGGCCAAGAAGCCATGAAGACGCAAAGTCACCTATGATGCTCTGTGGAAATGAGCCCGTTGATGATGCTCTAACACATCTCATCATGTGCCCCATTCTTTCGGATGTCTTTTTGAAATGCCTCATAGGAAGTTTTAGAATGACCATACAAGGTCAGTGGTATTAGCCGCCTCATTTTTACAGGTGAGGGAAGCGAGGCCCAGAGAAGTTTATCACCTGCCCAAGACCTAGAGCCCAGAAAGGAACGACAGTATTGGGACTCCTGAATCCATACTCTCCCAACTAGAGCGCTGTTCTACCTCTTGTGAAATTTCTAGAAGAGGGCCCATTCAAAGGAAGGCAGAGAATAAACCAAGGGAAAGGCCCTTGTCCAGGAAGACTATTCCAAGTACAGAGTTTTTTATTATTCTACTTTCAAACAATCCGAAGGTACTTAAAAATAACAGTGGTTCAAAATGATCTTTCTAGGTCACTGACATGTGTGTCCGCAGAAAGTCCAGACTCAAATTTTAGGGCCCCCTCTGTGTGAATTATACCGAGACTCAAAGTTCACAGAATGTTAAAGTTGGGATAATTTAGCTTCATTCAGTTATAAATGGGGAAGCTGAGGCTAGAAAACTGAGAGAACTTGCATTTGTCGGGTTGTCGGGGGGAATGGAGTAAGCCAGAGATTCCCAAATCTGGCTGCACATCAGAAACACTTGAGAAGTTTCTAAAAATATCCATACTTAGATAGCACCCTCAGACCAATTTCCCAGGAATCTTCAGGAAAGGTGTGCGGTCCTGGCATTTTAGTTGAGAACCACGTATGCAAAGAAAAAAAACATGGACCAACACTTAGAAGTCTTAAGTTCTACATTGGGTCTATCATTAATTCCTTGCCTCTCAGGTTGAATAAAAGATTCAGGTACCATTTGATTATAATTTACTTGTCAAAAATTTAAGTAATCCAAAAAGGAGTGGCAATAAACTGGCATCTTCACATGATAGAATTTTATGCTGTAATTAAAAATGAAGGTTCTGAGGACTTTTTAAACATAGGATGATGTTTATGTCTAACACTTAGTACAAAAAGCAGGATACAAACCTCCATGTATATGGTATTTTAAAACATCTTGTCAAAAGTACATACAGTGAGAGACGAGAAAGACACACATGAAAAAACTAATTAGAAAATATTGCCTATTATATTCCAAGGATATCGCATTGTGGTAAAGGTAAATCTACGGAGACAGTAAAAAAAATTAGGTTCTGGGGCGGGGGGACGGGAGGGAGGGAAAGGCGGAACACATAGGCTTTTTAGAAAGTGTCCTGTATGATTATTACAGTGGTGGATATGTATCCTTCTTCATTTGTCCAAATTCATAGAATGTACATCACCAAGAGGGAACCTTGATGTGAACCATGAGCTTTGGGTGATAATGGGGTGTCAGTGAAGGTTCACTGATTATAACAAATGTAACTAGTCTGGTGTAGGACGCTAATAGTGGGGGAGCGTGTGTGTGTGTGTGTGTGGCAGGGGTCGGTTGGCATATATAGGAGATCTCTGTACTTTGTGCTCAATTTTGCTGTGACCCCTAAAACTCTAAAGTTAAACCCACAAGGTTTGCTAATTAAAACAAACAAAACAAACATAACTAGGGCCATCTTGGCCAGTGGAGCTACAGGTGACTTCTTTTAATTAAAAAAAAAAAAAAAAAAAAACCCAAACCAAAACCCACTGAGGGTGTGAGTTCAAGATGAATGAATGCCAGCAAGATATTGGGCACATTCTAGCTGACTCATGCTTGATAGTTTATGTGGAAATATACTGGATCTCAACAGAAAACGAGGCTGGAAAGGAACAGTCTGTACTCACCGTCCTTGCAGATGGCTCCCATCTGACACATCCCTAAGTCTAAGAGATACCCGCTGAGGCAGCTCGTACAGTTCTTGAAGCCCGGACCGTTGCACGTCAGGCAGCTAGCATCACATCTACGGGGAAAACGTACAGTTCGTGCTTTCACGTCAGGCTCGAGAAAAGACGTTTGCTACCCACCTCTTACGGACGTTTTAAACTCAATTCCCCCTTGGAAGATGGCCCAGAAGCGTCTGGTTACTGTAACTGCTACCTTTGCCAACATTAAAGCCCAGCAGGTAGATGGATTTTAAATGGCAGAGCGCACTGTACTGGAAACCGAAATATTACTTTAAAGATTTTATTTTTTTAAAAGAGTTTATTTATTTGACAGACAGAGATCACAAGTAGACAGAGAGGGAGGCGGGGGTCCGGGTTGGGGGGAAGCAGGTTCCCCGTTGAGCAGAGCCCTCTGCGGGGCTCGATTCCAGGACCCTGAGATCATGACCCCAGCTGAAGGCAGAGGCTTTAACCCACTGAGCCACCCAGGCGCCCCAACGTTAAAGGTTTTAAAGTGCTCCTGGGACGGAAACGAAGCATTCGAGAGAAGCCGGATGAAAGCTGCAGGGCAGAGTCCGCAGGAAAAATCTGGGAAGTCATGTCAGCGTAGTAACTGCTCGGTCCGGCAAGGAGGCGGGCGCTCCCGGGCCGGGCGGAAGGCGCGGGGCACTTACTTCTTGCAGGATTTGTGTCGGTTCTCTGCCGAGCGGTCCAAGTAGTAGCTGAGGCTACAGGTCTGCACGCAGCGCCCGTCCTCCATGAAGTAGGCTTCGGCGCAGCTGCTACACGCGTCCGCGCCCGGCCCTTGAAAGCAAGACAAAGGCGGGAAACAGAGACAGAATCTCAGAACAGCTGGCAGGATGGGCTGCGGCCTGCGTGGTTGGTGACCAGGGCACGGATACGTTGTCATTTTAAGAGTCACAATTTCGTATTGTGCTTTCCCTCACATTCTATGGGGAAGAAAAACCACAACACCACTCACTCCCCGTTTAAATCGAACCCATTTGCCAAAACCATCAAATGCCCTCGGAAGGAGGCGGCGGTCTCCCCGGCATGTGTCCGTGTCGCGCCAGGGACGGAATGCCCGCGGCTGTTCTGAGAATCTAGGCAGGTGTCCTGGAGGAGAACTGGGTTTCTCCGGCATTTACTTTAACACTATCCGCTGGGGCTGCGGGAGTGACGGCTGACGCCAGGGCAGCAAGCGCCAAACCAGAGCCCGAGGAATAAACCGCAGGACGGGGGACAAGATACCAGCACAGGCGGCACAGAAGCGGTGACAGGGCTGGCAGTCGTGGCCGTTGAAGTACTGGCCGTCCTCGCAGGCGACGGAGCACTGGGACCCCTGCAGGCTGAAGACAGACACACGGACGCTGTGATCGAAGCAACGAGGTCATGACTCCCCGGCTCCCCGTGCAATGCTGCCGCACCTCCCCGAGACCCATGGCTTGGCCAAGCTTCCAAGCCAGGGAAATCGCTGCGCACCCCTTCTCTTCTCCTTCCCGATGCCTATCCTGCTTCTCTGTGCCTATGATGATGTCTCCAGCCTGTATGCGTGCTCTGAGCTCCGTGGACTGTTCTCTTCATCGTCAGGCTGGCCGGCGCCTCCCTTCTTTGCTCTTGCACCTTAAACCCCCCCACCCTGGGGGTGCTTAAAAGGATCTTACTCACAAAACTCATTACCTAGCAATACTACGTCTGACAACTCTGATAGCCAGCACTATGATGTAATAAACTTAAAAGTTGTTTTGTTATTATAACAAAACAGTAGGAACACGGGGTAACATGAGTTCCAACTGAATAAAGGGCACAGTGATCTCTAGCTAGCCCGCTATTCTCTCTAGCTACTTTTGTTTCTGTTTCTGGTTTTAGTTCTTCTACTGGTTCCCAGCAAAACCACACGACTGCAATACACTTTGCCTCTATTTCCTGATTTATTTTAAATGCTAATGAATAACGTTGTAAAATGTCCTGCCTATACAGCTGATTCCCTAAACATCCCAACTTTTCTTAATTGTATTATTGTTTCCAGGTGTTCTCTCTACCCTATTTTTCTCTTTCTGGCGCTCTTGGTATCTATTACAGTTGCCAGAATGGTGAATGAGGAATGCGTATTTTTTCCTCTTTTCTAATATCGATTATGATAGTTTTCATAGTGAATAGATCAGTTCTTAAACCCTGAATTTAGGACCTTTTATCTACAAATATTGCTCACTGAATCAATAGCGTGATTGCAGCTGCAGATTAGCACCTGTAATCCTGTGTCACCAGAGAGATGATCCTACAAGATGTGTATCTAAGCAACAGGTTCAATGGTTTTTATCTAAGCAACAGGTTCAAATGGTTTTTACTCTCCGAGACTCTATATTGTTCCAGTGCACATCTTAGTTGACTGTGCTTTGTATTTGGATCACACTAACTTGGAAAAGTAGAATTTATTTTTCTCTATTGGAAAGAACAAAAACAGATAAAAACAGATCCCAAACAGTCCTGTTAACATTTTAATCCACTTCCTTCCAGTAATTTGTGTATGTATTTCTGTTTGTTCTTAGCCACTCTTTAAACAATGATGATAGTAACAATAATAATTTAAATAATAGATCTCTTAAGGCAAAATGGTCAACCTTCAAAGCCTCTAAGGAAAGGGCAGGGAGTCTCAGGGACACAGAAGGCAGCGTAACTCAAAGTGTACTCCATTCACAGACCTGACTGGCCAGGGAGCGATGTCATTTAAAGAGCCAGTAAGAGAAAATCTCTGTCCTTCCCATGGAACTGGAAAAAAGGACATTGTATCAAATGTATCCTTTTGTGGGAGGCAATAGGACTGCCAAAAAACTTACCAAAATTGAAAAAAAAAAAAAAAGCTGCCTCATATTTCTAGTAAAGGGCATTCCTTCTGAGGTTGGCATGTGTTGAGAGAGAGGCTGTGTTGTGTGAGGAGGGAATGAATGTAAGTGGGTTGTGCAATAGAGAGCAGGCTCTGTGTGTACCCCGAAGCTTTCTGGTGCTTCCAAAATACAGCGGTGGTGTGGCTAACTTGCCTGGTACAGGGGACACCTGGGTTCTTTCTGTGATCCATTAGTTGGGTTGGAATCCTGCTGTCCCACATGCTTTGGTGCCTGTGGCTTCCGAGCACTTAAAGATGTGGTTAGTATGGCCCAGGAATGGGACTTTAAACTTTATTTATTTTTAGTTAATTTCGGTCTACATTTTACAAATTGGCCCTCGGTTCAGTTACTGGCAAAACTGAGTAAGTTTGGCACAAAGCTGGCTATATAAAATCTCCTTTGACTAAATTTTGTAAAATCCAAGTACAGAGCAAGTATTTCTCATAAAAAATTCCTGTCCAAGTTGAGATGTGCATTGTGCTTTCCGGGATCAAATGCACCCCAGATTTTGGTATAACAACAAAAAAGAACATAAAACATCTCGCTAGGTCTTTTCTATTGATTACATATTGAAACAGTAATATTTTGGATATATTTGATTAATATTTTCTTAAATGTTACCCATATCTTTTTACTTCCTTTAATGTGGCTACTGGCATATATGAAATAAAATGAACATATAAGGCTCTCGTATTCCCACTGGAGAGCGCTGGTTAATGAACTCTGTGAAATGTTCCCTAAGAACCACAGTTGACTGAACTCTTGAACAACGTGAGTTTGAACTGCATGAGTCCGCTTCTAAGTGGATTTTTTTTTTTATAAATACAATACAGTACTCTAAATGTATTTTCTTCTTCTTCTTCTTCTTCTTTTTTTTTTTTTTTACTACTTGGTAATTTTATTTATTAAATTTCTTTTCAGCATTAACAGTATTCATTGTTTTTGCACCACACCCAGTGCTCCATGCAATCCGTGCCCTCCTTAATACCCACCACCTGGTTCCCCCAAGCTCCCACCTCCCCCCCACCCCCCCCCCCCCCGCCCCTTCAAAATCCTCAGGTTGTTTTTCAGAGTCCATAGTCTCTCATGGTTCACCTCCCCTTCCAATGTATTCTCTTTATAATTGTCCTAACATTTCTCTTCTCTAGGCTTACTTTCTTGTAAGAATACAGTGTAGAATACATAGAACACAAATGTATTAATTGACTGTTATTTGTAAGATTTCTTTTCAACCGTAGTAATTGGTAGTTACGTAGTTAAGAGTAACTTAAGGACTTAAGACTTATATGCGGTTTTCATCTGCATGAGGTTGGGGCCCCTAATCCCTGAGTTGTGCAAGGGTCAACTGTATAGAAAATAATTGTAAATAATCTTTTATTTCTCATGGACCAATTATGTGTCTGTTACTGGAATAAGATTTCACAAATATTATCACAGTTGATCCTTTTCATCATTCAGCAATGTGGGGGTTAGTATCTCATTTTATAGATGACAAAAGTGAAGTTCAGAGTGGCTCAGTGACTTGGCCAGGATCCCACAGCTGACTAACAGAAGAGGGTTTGAGCCCACATCTACCTTGTCTCACTTCACAAAAAGAATTAGGGGGCTGACTAGACTGATATTTATCAAGGCCCGAAGTCTTGAGATGAAAGGTACTAAGCCAATTACTACTGAATGCATTTATGAAAAAAAACCCAGGGTTAAAAAAATATATTAGCAGAGGATGGTCTGACCTTCTCTGTGGAAATCCAGGGGCTACCTAGGTCATGCGAGCTGTGTCTCGTTCTCTTGCGGAAGCTATCAGATATCTGGCTTTAGCAATGAGCAAGTCGTCCAGTTCAGAAAAACATCGCCAGGTATTAAATCTATGTGCATACCGGAGCATAATGGAACCAAGCCTGAGGTACTTAAGATAAGAGCATGATTGGCTATATGGAGAGAATAATACAGATAAGGGAAGAGTTTCTGACCATCAAAGGAATGAATCAGGAGGATTAAATATAATTCATTGGTATTACCTACACATTAATCCTTGACGGGGGCGCTGTGCTGGCCAAAAAGCACTGAGAAAACCTCTCAAAAAGCCGTTTTTATTTATGTGTATCAGAGCCATCTTTTCTGAAGAGAATTTTCCTTGGTGTGTGAACCTCCCTTAGCGAAGATGGCATCCAATTTGTCACATATAATGGTAAAGATAATGCAAATAGCAAATCAGGTGTTTGAATGGGAGTCAAACCAAGGGTGATGGTAAGAGGATTACTTTTTTACATATTGTGTTTATACTGAGAAATTCCTTGGGCTGTGTGACTTAACAAGATCCTTCACTCTCTTACCTTAACCCATCCCTGCATTCTGTACAGTTGTGGAACTCAGTACAAGTCTTGCAGTTTTCACTGCATTTCCGGCAAAGATTTTTCTCTGTTAAAAACAGAACAACACAACACAACACATACACACAAAAGTAACAGTTATAAATCAGTTGGTCATTGGATTCCATAAAAGCGGGTGAAGACGTTCTGATGTTTGCGAATGTACACGACAGTACCCGTACGTGACCTTGAGCCGAATATTTTATGAACAGCCCCACACTGCACGTTTGCTCTCACTTTCCAGCAAAGTGAACAAAGGTAGGAAAACGCAGGATGGGACATGCCTCACATCTTCCATTTTGCAGACAAAGGAACCACAGCCCGTTGACTTCTTAGTTGAATAGCTGATTGGCTTCCCCCCGCCTTTTTCTCTCCCCCAAGCGGGGTTTCCCCACTTCTGAGGATGACAGTCCCACTAACAAAGACGCTGGGGCAATGCTAGGATGTCGGGGTTGAGAAGCGGTGTCTGGGGCTGTGGGATGGAAAGGCGGGCCCCCATGCTCACAGCGTGTAGACCGCTCTGAAGAACGCCACCAGAGAAGGGAATCTGCATTTAAGATGGCAGGGTAGTAAGGGTTGATAATGTATTTCTTGTATTGCCTAGAATAGTGTTGCATACTTCATAGTGGCTGTGACATTGATATGTTATTATAGTTCAGATACGTCTCCATGCTGGAGAATAGAAATACACTGGATTGGAGCAAATACACCATGAATATGGTTTTCCTGTTTAATCCCAAAGACCGATCAATCCCCATTGGAAAAAAATGGCAAATGTATGCTTATGCAATAGTGAAAAACGGTGATTCTCAATACCATCTCTGAGCTGCAAGTGAGTTATAACCACGTGTATGTGTAGGACTGAATGAGCTTTGTTCACAGGCTTCTTGTCCTCCACCTACTCCTTAAATGTTAGCGTTCTTCAAGGTTCCATGGAGGAATACTACTTTAATGGATTCCTATAAGGACCTCCCAAAGGTCCACTTCCTTTCTCGAGTCTGAGCCTCCCCTACCCTTCCCCATGAAATACGAAGTGCTTTATAATCTTATGGTAGTCCCCACATAGTCTTCCCTTCACTCTGCCATTGAGATTCCTGGACATGGCACAGGATCTGAAGTCCAAGGACCTAGATATGAATTCTGCTTTTAGTATTTCCGGTGGGCAAGTTCAGGGTCTCTGTTCTCTGCTCCACAGACATTCCAGTGATGCTGACCTTTCAGGTAACTATCTTGAGGGGATAATGAAATTACTCAGGGGAACTGTGTGAATTTGAAAGCACTGTAAATGTGTTGACAGTAATTATTACCAGTCATGATCATATCTGATCACTGTGTCTTCAGGAGGAAAATATAACAAAAGTCAGTTACACGGAAGGAGAGAGAAGCAGAGACCACTCGTATCAGTAAAGCCACTGTCTGAACAGTCTTCCTCCACTACAAACGTCCCAGGCTCTGGGGACACGACTGACTCTGTTATCTCTATCCTGTTATGCACCATCTCAGACCAAATTTCTTTGCCAAGATTCCGCCTTCTGGATAGAATTTTGAATTTTTTCTACAAGAAATACTGCTTATTTCTGGGGATCCCTCACACTCCCCTCCCCACTCTTATTTTTCCTTTCTCTATCAGGATGACGCTCATGTTCCAAATTTTGGGGGAAAAGGAACTACACGGAAATCCTACCCACCATTCTATAGGGTAAAGTGAGACTCCATTTGCCTTCTGGAAAAAAATGCTTGCCTTTGAGTCAAGGGACTCTGACTTCTTAAGAATATTGTTGCCTGATTTCTGAAACACAACTCTTATTCATTTACACTTGGGTCTTCTTTCTTAGGTCGTGCAGAAACAGGAGATAATCAGCGTCGTCATGCACCATGGTGTGACATGCTTGTTAGTTACCGAGAATTCAGAAATAAAGCAGAAGGGTGCTACCGGAGCACTAACAGGTAGGAAAGCCCAAGGATTACTTAATTCTCCAGTGAATGTACCTTTGTTTGTTTCCTAATGATGACTGATTAGGGCCCAGACTCCTGAAGTGAAGTGACGTGTTCATTTACAGATTTTTGTTTGTTGCAAAAGATTTCTGTGTGGAAAAAGCCCCTCAAATTCGATTTGTATTGCCTGGTAGGAAATTATTCATTTCTTAATTGAAGTATAATTAACAATGTTATATTAGTTGCAGATATAGAATAGACTGATTTGATGATTCCATATATTACTCACTGTTGACCACGGTAACTGCAGTCCCCATCCGTCACCGTGCAGTGTTATTACAGTATTATGGACGATACTGCCTAGCTGTACTTTTCACCTCTGTGACTTCCTTATTTGATAACTGGAACTTTGTACCTCCCCTTTATCTTTTCTGCCCATCCCTCCATCCACCTCTGCTCTGGCCACCACCGGTTGTTCTCTGTATTTAAGGGTCTTTATTTTTGTTTGTTTGCTTCCACATACAAGTGAAATTCTATGGTATTTGTCTTTCTCAGTCTGATTTATTTCACTTAGCATAATACCGTATAGCTCCATCCATGTCGTCACTAATGGCAAAATCTCACTCTCCTATATGGCTGGGTAATATTCCACTGTGTTTGTGTGTGTATGCCACTTTTTACAAGTTTTAAATTCCAGTGTAGTTAATATACAGTATTATATTAGTTTCAGGTGTACAATACAGTGATTCAGCACTTCCATATACCACCCAGTGCTCATCAGGACAAGTGTACACCGTAATCCCCATCACCTGTTTCACTCTTCCTCCCACGCCCCTCTGGTAACTATCACTTTGCTCTCTATAGATAAGAGTCTGCTTCTTGGGTTTGTCTCTTTTCCCTTGGATCATTTGTTTTGCTTCTTAGAGTGAAATCCTGTGGTATTTTCCTTTCTCTGACTGAGCATTATACTCTCTAGCTTCATGCATGTTGTTGCAAATGGCAAGGTTTCATTCTTTTTAATGGCTGAATAATACTCCATTGTGTATGTGTGTGTGTATGATGAATGGATATTCCTTTATGCGTTCATCTATCAGTGAACACCTGGGTTTCTTGCATGCCTCGGCTATTGTAAATAATGTTGCAATAAACATAGGGGTGCATACATTATTTTTAATTGGCATTTCTGTATTCTTTGGGCAAATTCCCATAGTGGGATTCCTGGATTTTATGGCGTTTGATTTGAATCTTTTGAGGAGCTGCCACCCTGTTTTCCACAGTGGCCGCACCGGTTTACAGCCCCACTGCAGTGCATTAAGGTTCTCTTTTCTTTCCATCCTTGCCAACACTTGTTGCAATTTGTTTCTTGATACTGACTAGTGTTCTTTCTTGAGAGCTATTCTAAAATGTGTGAGCGTGAGGGGTCTCTCATTGTGGTTTTGATTTGCACTTCCCTGATGATGAGTGATGCTAAACATCTTTCCATATGTCTGTTGGCCATCTGTGTATCTTCTTTGGAGAAACTTCTATTCAGATCCTCTGCCCATTTTTTTTTTTATTGCATTGTATTTTGGGTGTTGAGTCGTATACGTTCTTTATAGGTTCTAGATATTAACCCCTTATCAGATACATAATTTGCAAGTATCTTCTCCCATTCACTAGGTTGCTTTTTTATTTTGTTGATGGTTTTCTTTAGTGTGAAAAAGCTTTTCATTTTGGTGAAGTTCCTATATAGTGGCTGTTGCTTCCTGGGCCTGAAGAGACCTATCCATACATACGTCGCTAAGGGCAATGTTCCAGAAATTACTGCCTATGCTTTCTTTTACGACTTTTATGGTTTCAGGTCTCCCATTTAGGTGTTTATTCCATTTTGAATTTATTTTTGTGTATGGGGTAAGGAAGTGGTGCCGTTTCCTTCTCTTGCATTCTGCCGTCCAGTTTTCCCAGCACCATGTACTGAAGAGACCATCTTTTCTCCATTGTGTATTCTTGCTTCCTTTGTCATAGAGTAATTGAACAAATAGATGTTGGTTTATTTCCGGGGTTTCTATCTTGCTCCATTGATCTGTGTCTAATTTTTGTGCCAGCACTATGCTGTTTTGATTACTATACCTTTGTAGGCGATCTTGAAATCTGGGATTGTGATACCTTCAGCTTTGTTCTTCTCTCTCAGTATTGTTTTGGCTACTCAGAGTCTTTAGTGGTTCTATACAGAATTTAGGATTATTTGCTGTAGTTCTGTGAAAAATGCTTTAGTATTTTGAATAGAAATTGCAATGAATCTGTAGATTGCTTTGGGTAGTATAACAATATTCTTGCAATCCATGAGCATGGTGTATCTATCTACTTGTTCGTGTCATCTTGAATTTCTTTCATCGGTGTCTTACAGTTTTCAGAATACAGGTTTTTTACCTCCTTGATTAAATTTATTTCTAGGTATCTTATTCTTTCTGGTGCAATTTACAAATGAGATTGTTACGTTCATTTCTTTTTGCTACTTCATTATTTTGTATCTTGAAACTTCACTGAATTCATTTATCAGTTCCAATAGTTTTTTGGTGAAGTCTTTAGCATTTTCTATGTATAGTATCATGTTATCTGCAAATAGTCACAGTTTTACTTCTTCCTTACCAATTCATATGTCTTTGATTTCTTTTTCTTGTCTGCTGCAGCTAGAATTTCCAATATTATGTTGAATAAAAGTGGTGAGAGTGGACATCCTTGTCTTGTTTTTGTCTTAGAGGAAGAGTTCTCAGTTTTCATTATTGAGTATGATGTCAGTTGTGGGTTCATCAAATACGGCTTTTATTATGTTGAGGTATGTTCCCCTGAACCCCACATTTTTGAGAAGTTTTAATACGAATGCATGTTGTATCTTGTCAGATCCTTTTTCAGCATCTGTTGAGATGATCATATATTTTTTTATTCTTCCTCATTTATGTGATGTCATATTGATTAGTGAATATTGAACCACACTTCCCTCTCTGGAATAGATCCCACTTGATCGTCCTAAATGTTTTTCTTTAAATGTACTATTCAATTTGGTTTGTTATTCTTTTGTTAAGGATTTTTGCATCTGTTATCATCAGAGATAATGGCCCGTAGTTTTCTTTTTATATAAGGTCTTTGTCTGGCTCTGGGATCAAGGGAATGCGGCCTCATAGATGCTTTTAGAAGTTTTACTTCCTCTTCTATTTTTTGGAATCATTTGAGAATAGGTATTAACTCTTGTTTAAATGTTTTGTAGAATTCACCTGTGAATTCATCTGGTCCTTAATTTTTGTTTGTTGGGAGTTTTTAACTGTTGATTCAATTTCATTACTAGTAATTGGTCTGCTCAGATTTTCTTTTTCTTCCTGATTTAATTTTGGAAAATTGTAGGTTTCTGGGAATTTATCCATTTCTTCTAGATTGTCCAATTGTTTGGCAGATAATTTTTCAATGTTTTCTTATAATTCTTCGTATTTCTTTGATATTATTTCTCCTCCTTCATTTCTGACTTTGAGTCTCCTCTCTTTTCTTGATGTCTGTTTAAAGATTTATCAGTTTTGTTTTCTTCCTGAAGAACCAGGTCTTAGTTTCATTTATCTTTTTTTTTGGTCTCTATTTCATTTAAATCTGCTCTAATCTTTATTATTTCCTTCTAGTGGCTTTGGACTTTGTTCTTTTTCTAGTTCCTTTCTCCTTTTTCTAGTTCCTTTAGGCTTAAGGTTAGGTTCTTTACATGATATTTTTCTCGTTTTTTTGAGTCCCCTAATAGCACTATAAATTTCCCTCTTAGAACTGCTTTTGCTAATTCCCAAAGAGTTTAGACTATTGTCTTTCACTTTTTTCCATGCATTTTTGATTTCATCTTTTTTTTTTTCTTCATGGACTTTGGTTAATTAGCATGTTGTTTAACCTCCATGTATCTGGGTTTTTTTTCCCTTCCATTTTTCTCTTGTAAAATTGATTTCTACTTTCATACCATTTAAGTTGGGAAACATGCTTGATATGATTTCAGTCTTCTTAAATACAGTGAGATTTGCTTTATGACCCAACATGTTATATATACCAGAGAATGTTTCATGTGCACTTGAAAAGAATGTGTATTGCTACCCTGAGTTGTTCCTTTTCCCACCTCAATTTGCATGGCTTATGTTTTCTCATCTCTTCACTTGCAGGATGTGTCCTTATGTGTGAAGTGAGTCTCTTGTAGGCAGCATATAGATGGGTAATATTTTCTTATTTATTCACTGTATGTCTTTTGATTGAAGTATTTAGTTTACTTACATTGAAAGTAGTTTTTGGAGTTCTTCCTGATTCCTTCCTTTTTCCCTTGCTTACTTTCCTTGTGAGTTGACAGTTTTCCTTAGTGATATGGTTGGATTCTTTCTCTATTTCTTTGTGTATATCACAGGTCTCTGAGTTGTGGTTTCCACTGGATTCTATATTGAATTGAGGGTTGCTTGAGTTCAACACATTGTAAAACTACTAAAATTAACTCCCACTTCCATGTTTTATGTATGTGATGTTTTACTTTATATCTCCCTTGTCTAATTTTTCTAGATATTGATTGTATTACTTTGTGTTTTAAACTCCACAGTGGCTTTATAAGTGATTATTTTTTACTCTGTTTAGCTTTTACCTCTAAAATTTTTCTGCTTTTATAATTTTTTCTTTACACGATGGCCTATTCTTTCCATTTAAAGAATTCCCTTTAAGATTTCTTGTAAGCCTGATTTAGTGGGATGAACTCCTTTAACTTTTCTTCTTCAGGAAAACACTGTTCTCTCCTTCTGTTTTGAATTCTGTACTTTCTGGGCAGAGTATTCTTGGTTGTAGGTTTTTGTTTGTTTGTTTTAGCACTTTGAATAAAGCATGCTACTCCTCTCTGGCCTACAAAGTTTCTGCTGAAAGTCAGCTGATAGCCTTATTTGCCTTCCCTTGTATCATCACTTTTTGCCATTTTAATTATTGTGTGTCTTGCTGTGGACCTCTGTGGGTTCATTTTGGTAGGGGTTCTTCTTCCTGGACCTGGATGTTGCTTCTTTCCCCAGGTTCGGGAAAGAAGGTTTTCAGCTATTATTTCTTCAAATAAGTTTTTTGCCCCTTCTTCTCTCTTCTCCTTCTGGGATCCCCAAAATGTGCATGTTATTATGCTTGATGATGCCACAGAGTTCCCCTAACCTATTCTCATTTTTTATTCTTTTTTGTTGTTGTCAGCTGGGTTGTTTTCCATTACCATCTTCCATACCACTGATGTCTTCTTTGCATCTTCTGAGCTACTGTGGATGCCATTTAGTGTATTTTTATTTCATTTATTAAATTTATCAGCTCTGGTTTTTTGTTTTGTTTTTTTTTTTACATTTTCTGTCTCTTTCTTGAAGGTCTCACTGAGATCCTTGGCTCTTTTCTCAAGTCTAGTGAGTATCTCAGTGATAATTACTTTGAATCCTTTATCACACATATTGTGTATTCCCATTTCATTTGGCTGTTTTACTGTGATTTTGTCTCTTTTTCATCTGGGACATATTCCTCCGTCTCATTTTGTCTCTTGGTGTTTGTTTTTAAAGTAGTAGGACGGTCAGCTATGTCTCTTGGTCTTGAAAGTAGTGGCCTTGTTTTCAGAAGAGCTCCTGTGGTGTTCTATAGTGCAGCCACACCCTGGTTACCAGAACACCAGGCATTCCATGGGTGTCCTCGGTGTGGGCTCTGTGCGCCTCCCTATTGTGGCTAAGTGGCAAGCGCCTTCAGCCCAGCCCGCCGCAGTGATGCCCTCTGCCGGCTCTCAGTGTCCTGGGTAGGGCTGAGGGCGGTCTAAAACGATGACAGGCTTGGCGAGTTGGGCCAGCAGGGAGCCCAGCTGTCTGCACTTAGTCCCTCTGGCTCAGTGACGGGGACACTCATGGGCAGGGCTTGTTTCCTGCGCAGCCAGCTGTGAGCTCCACTGCGGGGACTGCAAGTGTGCTGTTAGAGTGGCTTCTCTCCCACTCCCCAGGGCGTGAGGCAGTTGGGAGCGGCGCCCTCCAAGTAGGTATGGTGGGGCAGGGGCCACTTTGAAGGGAGGACTGCCAGCTGGCGTGGATAGGGAAGAGCATATAGCGCTATAGCGAAGTAGACGGAGAGTGTCCGCGCTACGTTTCACCAACATCCAGCTGGCTAGGGCTTGGGGACGGGGTGTTGGGGAGAGGAATGCCATCTACCAGCACTTTCTTTCTAGAGAAATATTCTGTGCCTCCCTGCCCGGGACAGATTAGTCAATGTATCTCCTTCACTTAAAATCGCAGACACTTCTCAAACTGCTTCTGCTGTGCTGTCTGGGCTGCGTTATTTAGTATGCTGGATCTTTAAGGATGATGGAGACTCCATTTCCTACTGCCTTCAGGCTCTCCTGTAACTAAGGCCCACTCGAGTTAAGCTCTCCTGGTTTCTAAAGCCAGACATGGTGGCGGGGGCGGGGGGGGGGGGGGCTCCTCTTCCTAGTGATGGGCGTGCCCTGTGTGGAGTCAGATCCTCTCCTCCACACTCATGATGTCCCATCCTGTTTGTAGTTAGTGGCACCCGGGGTGTGATTTCCAACTATGTCTCCATCCTACCTACCCTTTTCAAGGTGGCCTTCTCTCTACCGTTAACCGTGGCCAGTCTGATCTGCCAGACTCCAGGTGCCTTTCAATTAGGTGAACAAACGTAGCGTTATCTCAGTATGTCTGAGGGACAAGGTGAGTTCAGGATCCTCCTACTCTACTCGCTCTGGAAATTCTTCAGTTTTGTCTCTAACTCAGCAAATGGATTTCATTTTGCCTTTCATAGTGGGCTGGGATACCTGATAGCATTTGACTCCATTTATCACTTTAAAGGTTTCCTTCTTAATGGCCCTTCATTAGTAGTTTTTGACACATGTCTAATTCTAAACTTTCTGAAATATAACACTGATACCATACCGGCCTGGTTCGTTTGGTTACTCTATGGAAAAAAGCAGGTTCGCCTGCTATCTTTTGAAAGCCTGCATCTGAAGCTGGCCCATGGCTAGAATCTGGGAGTTGGATTTCAAGAGGGTTTCCACCAACCTACCTGGTAAGAGTGGCTCATGGTGCCTAAACTGTACAAACAATATGGTTTATGCTGAACATCTGCTTTCCTTGTAGGAGCCTGGAATTTTGGTATGTGCCAGCTAGACAGTGTCTTCGTGACAACAACCCGGGGCACTGAGGCTCTAAGGAGGTTCCCACATTGAAAGGTAGCCTACATTTCACACATGTTGTAACCAGTTGTTGCTGGGGGATTTAAATTCATCTTGGGGGAAAACTAAGAAGCTAGTGCTGGTTTTCTGCATCCGTTGTCCTATGTACCTCTTCCTGATCTTACATGGTAACTATGAGCTCGTGGGTGCAACTACATGGTAAGTCTTGTGGGTCTTCCTAGCAAATCACTGAATGTGGGGAGGGGCCCTGAGGAGTCCCTGACAGTTAGTTAGTTATAAGCATTTTTATACAAATGATTTTTTTTTTTTACAACTCTAATGTGTTCTCTTAAAACCTGGTTAGATCCTATTAGATATAAGCAAGGCCTCAATTTCCCTCTTAATGTCATTCAAATGAAAACCTTCTATTTCCTCTCTAAAACCCAAATATTTGAAATCGACTCACTGGGGTCTGGGTATGATCCATCGGGGCAGTGGAGAACACAGCTGCTGGTTTCTTCATTTAGGAAGTATCCATATTTACAGGACAGGCATTGGTCACCGTGGCTCCCAAAGCAGGACTCACAGTTGGGGGCACACTTTCTGCATCGCTTCTTGTCAGCATGGTAGTGGCCAGAGGGGCAGCTGGAGACACAGATCCTGCATTGTGGGATGATAAGAAAGAAGGGCAGCATCACCAGAGACGGAGTCCTGGGCACTCTGGGAGATGCTCAACCAACAGCAGCCTTGATCTCAAAAATCCTTTTTAAAACATGACGGTAACACCATATCCAAAGAGCCAAATTCTGCTGGTCGAAGCTCTTTCCTGTGTAGGGTGCTCAGGCAGCAAGGCAGCCTCCCAATACCAAGTCCGCTAAGGAAGGCATGTCTTGGTCCAAACCATTTTCAGGTTCGGGACTAGCTCTTTAAAGGCGATGATGGTTAGAAACTAGAGGCTCAAGAGGAAGGTCGTGGCATGGGGTTGAGGGAAACTATGTGGGAACCACCATTTTATACAAAAAAGTTTGCTAATAAGCGGTTACTTCTGTTTGTGTGTGCTGTCCCACGGATCCTCTGAGCTAGGGGCAGTGGCTGTGGGTTATTGTCTAAATTCATCTAAATATATTTAAACTTGGTTATGATACATTTAAAAAAAAAAGAACTTCCTTAACTGAAGGACAGCTCTTTGTTTATTCATTCAACACATATTTACTACTGAGTACCAAGTAAAATGTTAGGCATTTTGCTGGTCTCAGCAATGACAGGTCCTACAGTAGCCAAGGGCCCTTCCTTTAAGGAACTGAAATGCCAGCATGCATGTAAACTAGAACGTGTCTGGGTCTGTCTGGATGGCTGAAGTGTGGACTCATGGCAAGTCAGCTCCTGTAGTAAGTCTTCCCTGAAGGAGGAGGGAAAGGGGGGCAGGGCTCTGAAGCAGATAGCCTCTTGACGGGCCATCACTGCCCCAGCAGCCTCCCTGTGGACAGATCTGCACAACTCAAGGCAGACACTGGGGGCTCAGAGTTATGGTAACCAAGCAGGTCTGCCTCAGGGCCCAGAGTGGAATAGGGAGGATGAGCAGGGCCGGCACCTCTGCCACACAGGAATGCGGGAAAGCATCTGTTGGGCTGCATGCTGGCGTTTTCATGAAGGGCCAACAGAGGTCTAGCGTCAGACATCCATGGATGGAAAGGTCTAGAGGGAAGAGCAGTCCTGTGTGGCGCTAGTCGCTCCCCTACGGCCCTTCCAAATGTGAGTAAAGACATTTGCAGCTTGGCAGCATACAGGGACACTGAGTATGGGTTTCAGCGTTTGGAATGACGCCAGGAGGCGGTGGCTAGGGCAGCAGCCTCTGTTCTCAGCTTAGGTCCTGGGAGGAGAACGTCAGCAGACATGGCTTCAGTGCAGCCCATGGGACCGCTGGGAGCACACAGCAGGGGGGATCGGACTCAGGCTGATTCTTACCTCGTGTTGTTTTTCAGCTTGTAATAGTAGTTTAAGCAGTCATTGCAGTGGTCTGGTCCTGGCCCGTCACAGCCCACCTCACTGCACTCAGGGTCACAGGGACCTTAAAAAAAAAAAAAAAAAAAAACTTGGAAAACACTTTAAAACAAGTCTGTTTTACCTTGAATTTGGTATAAAAGTGTAAAAGGAGGGGCGCCTGGGTGGCTCAGTGGGTTAAAGCCTCTGCCTTCGGCTCAGGTCATGATCCCAGGGTCCTGGGATCGAGCCCCGAATCGGGCTCTCTGCTCAGCAGGGAGCCTGCTTCTTCCTCTCTCTCTGCCTGCCTCTCTGCCTACTTGTGATCTCTCTCTGTGTGTCAAATAAATAAATAAAATCTTTAAAAAAAAATAAAATAAAAGTATAAAAGGAGACCTTTCTTCTTCCTTATGCAGTGAGAGGTTTTAAGGAGGAGGAATAATGTGTACCATGGCTCTGTGCATGGAGATGAACTCCTGGCGTTTTAGGGGGAAAACCTCAATTACCTAAGTATCAGGAATGAAAATCCAGTCATGGCCTGGGCTTCAAAAAAGCACAGATGGCTGCCTTGTGGGAGATAACACATATCTCAGAATTCCAATGAACAATGTCATTGTGGCAACTGGAAGAGAACTGATGGCAATTAAATACACATCATGATAAAAATGTTGGATTTACAGAAAAATGAGAAGTTAAGCTGTTGACAGAAAAAAGAAAGCTGATTATTCCACGCCTGGACCAGATTGTCTGGCTTGCCCATGGTCATTAAAATCACAGAATACCTCTGAGATGCTGTAGCCAGCAAGAAACATCATTATGGCATCTGGTGCGAGGTTATCAGTGTCTGGTCTGGGATTACAAAGCAGGTACTGAAGGCCCAGATTTAAAGTTGTGTCTTACCCACAGGCTGGTGGGCAACTCAACAAAAGAAAACTGGACATACATGTTTAAAAATGCAAGCAAGCTTAAAGAATTCCAGACCTAGGATGAAGGTTGCTAATCTTTCATGACATATTCTTTGGTCTAGAGTTAGAATTCACAGGAAGAAAAAAATGCCAAAAAGATGGGAGATTTTTATAACTGATGAAAAGCTTTCTAATGACATGGGCTAGACCTTTTGCTTGCTTGGACTAACTCCCTTTTTCCTTGTTGTCCATACTTTAGGACTTTTGGGCTTGTAATCTTCAAGCTCTTTCCGGTTAAAAATTCACATGATTTTAACTAGTAATAAACATGCACAGAATGTACAAACAGTAAGTTGATATGTCGGAAATACTTATTTAAATCAAAAGGATTTACTGTTGAACCTTGATCTCCTTTGGTCATTACAGGACTCTGTTCTACGGTTACTGAAATGGTAGAACCTCGGAGGAATGACTTAGAGAAAAATCTAGTATTCAAACACCCTCATTTACCTGGTGAGAAAACAGACTTTTTAAGAATTAGAGTGGCTTGTCCAGCATCATCAACATGGGTCCACCTTCTTAATCCAGCTCCCCTGTGTTCTCCCAAGCCTTAAAACTGATCTCTAAATAGAATTCCAGAGCTAGTGTAACTTAGGACCTATCAGCTCTCTGCTATGATACAACAGGAGAGAGAGTCTCTATGTACGGGTTGGAACTCAGCCAGCTATGGGTCCTACAGCCCCTGGAATTTGAGGAAACAGTACTAGGAATCTGGTTATGATAATGCCATCTGTGCCTTTAGCCAGGATGACTTCTTCATGAAGGTGAAAGTCACAGCTCTGAAAAAAAGGAAACATGGGTGGCCCTAAATTTTCACCAGATGATTTCTGCAATTAACCAGCCCCACGCTAAACTTACGCTTTATACGTGCCAAAGGGCTCTGTATGGCCAGTTCACAGGCTGTGCTGTGTCTTTTGTAATCTTAAACTGTCCCAGATGCAGTTTAGCATTCTAGGTTGCAGGGTAATAATGAAATAATTGTCTTTGTTCTCTCACAAGTGCCAATGTGGATATTTTGGAGAGGTAATGAGAAAAACCACAGAGATAGAAAACCGTTTGTTTAGAATTTTGAGATTCCCAGAATGTGAATTGGAAACCTACCAGAAGGCATATAGCAACAGGTTATTAGGCTCAGTTTATGTTTTTGGATGTCCTTTCTCCTAACAGAGAAGATGAAATGGTTTGCTAGTTATCACGGGAATAGTAATGTTACAAGCTCAAAACAAAATGAGATAATCTAACACGATTGAGCTCCGGTTACCTCAGCTTGCTTGAATTATTCCAGCTTATGATGGACTCTGGGATACTACCTGTTGAGAACAAAAGGAACTATGTGCATGTTTACGATATTCTGCTAAGGTGATTAATGAAGTACTTCTATCTTTAGTTCATTAAGTGTTATGTCATATCCCAGGAGCACTGAATGCCCCTTTAAGTGGTAGCGCAGCAAGACAGAAATCAGAGGGGTCCCTGGGTGGCTCAGTTGGTTTAATGTCTGCCTTTGGCTCAGGCTATGATATCATGGGTCCTGGGACCGTGCCCCACGTGGGGCTTCCTGCTCAGCAGGGAGTCTGCTTTGTGCTCCCGCTCTCAAATACATCAAATCCTTTCAAAAAAAAAAATACAGATGATATGGCTGTAATACCTATAATTGCCCCAGAAAATCAACTCTAAAACATAATTAATAAAAGTTGAGCAGAATGGCCTGATAGAAGATAAATATGCAATGGCCAATAGATTTCCTAGATACCAGCAGATACCAGTTAGAGAATACGGCATCTTTTCCATTATAACAGCAACACGACCCCAAAATATGTAGGAATAACACTAAAAAGAAGAATAGAACATAAAATTAAAAGATTTTGGTAAAATGGGACATGGTCTGTGTTTTGGATAGAAAGACTTGTGTATTATAAAAGTAATTCTTACCTAAACAATTCTTCCCATGGGACTGCATGTAAATTCACATTAAATTCCAATGGAATCTTTAGAGATGGACTTAAGAATTACTATGAAAACAAAATATTCAACAGAGAGTAAAATATATTGTGGGTGTTACTGGAGTGAGATTAAAAAATCAGAAACGGGGGTACCAGAAGATACCCTGGTTTAAGAATTTATTCTACTATTATAAAGGAAAGACCCTGCGGTGCCTGGGTGGCTCAGTTAAGCATCTGTCTTCAGCTCAGGTCATGATCTCAGGGTCCTGGGATTGAGCCCAGTGTCGGGCTCCTTGCTCAGTGGGGAGTTTGCTTCTCCCTCTCCAATAAATATTTAAAAATGGGATGATAACCCAGCCAATAATGTTAGTCTATGTGGAAAATAAAGACAATTTTATCTCATAGTATATATCATAAACCAAAATAAGTTCCAGATGACTTAATGGCCAAATTTAAAAAGCAGAGATTAGAAGAAAAAATGCATGTGGATATTCAGTTGATTTTAAAGATTAAAACTTCTTTAAAAAAAATACAAGTGAGATCTGAAACTATAAACCTTACACTCCTTTTTTTTTTTTTGGTCAAAACAACAGAACACGAAACAAAAAACTACATTTTAGGGGCGCCTGGGTGGCTCAGTGGGTTAAAGCCTCTGCCTTCGGCTCAGGTCATGATCCCAGGGTCCTGGGATCGAGTCCCGCATCGGGCTCTCTGCTCAGCGGGGAGCCTGCTTCCTCCTCTCTCTGTCTACTTGTGATCTCTGTCTGTCAAATAAATAAATTTAAAAAAAAATCTTAAAAAAAAACCCTACATTTAATAACTGAGGAAATGTTTTCAGGAAATATAATAGTTCCTCCCCCCACTTACCTGCAGGGGATAGCTTCTAAGCCCCCCAATGGATGCCTGAAACCACGGATAGTACCAAACCCTATATATACCATGCTTTTTTCCTACATATCCAAACCTGTGATAACATTAAATTTTTAAACTAGGCATAGTGAGAAACTAATAAGAGAACAATTATATCAATATACCATAAAATCTTGTATCTGTCCATCTTCTTGTGACAATGTGAGATGATACAAAGCCTGCATGATGAAATGAAGTCAGGGCACTGGTACAGGCATGGTAATGTAGCATAAAGCTGTTACTGACCCGATGATTTATCAGAAGATCATCAGCTTCCTGACCATTAGTAATGGGATACTACTTAGTAGTAGTGGTATTACTACTAGGAAACAAGTAAGGGGGAACTACTGTATGGAAAAATGTGAGAGATAAGAAAACTGGTGCCAATTTGAATAGAAAAATGGGTACAATACAATTATGTTTAATTCCTAGAACTAAGGAGGAAAAATGATTTACTAATAAAGCTATAAAACTTTTAAAATGTTCTGTTTTTTTTTTTGTTTTTTACTTTGTTTCTACTCCATTTTGGCAGGAGAAGGAGTATAATAAAGGCACAGCTGGTCCCAGCATAGACTGGTACATCTTGTCTGGAAAGGAATGTGACAAAATGTATCCAAGCTCTCAAACTGATTATTCCCTTTGATGCAGTAATTCTCAGAACTCCATTCTAAGGAAATAATTAAAGATATAAACAAGGACTGATAAAATAATGATGTTCATCCAAACCTTATTTAAAAGAATGTAAAACTCCCAGCAAACTACACATCCCAGATTATGTATAAAATGTAGTACAATCGTGGGATGGACTACTACACTGTCTTTTAAATATCTGTTGTGAGGATATGTGACACCAGGGAAATATGCTCTTAATAACCACAAGAGAAAGAAAAAGAATATGAAAACTCTCTACAGTGTGCTTTTTGCTTTGAAGAGAACAACAGTGCTGTGTGAATATACACATGCAAATATTTGGGGAGGACTAGAAAAGAAGATGGAAGAAAATATATCAGAGTATCGCTAGAAGCTGATCTGTGCATGGTGGGGTGATGTACAGGAGTTATTTCCTGAGCCTCCGTCCCCGCTGGAAGCCAGCTCACCTGCATAATCGTCTGTGCCGTAGTCCTCGGTGGGGTCTTCGACTCGGCTGTAGCGGACGCGTTCTACTTTAGGAAACTCGTTGGTTGGTGAGTATGGCTGCACAGAGGTACCATAGAGGACCAAAGACCATTCTTTCAATTTTCCTTGAGAAACAAAAATGAAATCCTAGCATGACCCCACACTCACTCTTGAGCTTTACAATTTCATTCCTTCTCATTAAGAAAAAGCAAAAGAGGGGGGCGCCTGGGTGGCTCAGTGGGTTAAAGCCTCTGCCTTCGGCTCAGGTCATGATCCCAGAGTCCTGGGATCGAGCCCCACACTGGGCTCTCTGCTCAGCAGGGAGCCTGCTTCCTCCTCTCTCTCTGCCTACTTGTGATCTCTGTCAAATAAATAAATAAAATCTTAAAAAGAAAAAAAAAAAGAAAAAGCAAAAGAGTTGTGGTAAGCATTTTCGTATGAATCCTAGCATGAGGTGCAGAGCTAGGATTGCACATTTTCCACCAGTTGAAGAATAACTGACCTATCACATACGTACTGACTATATAAGCCTTCATTTAATCAGCATTTATAAGACTGAGAAGTGAGTGCCTCTCAGCTGGACCAAGGGCTGATTTCAAATTATGGGTGTTTAAAAAGAGAACCCCAAATTTTTACAGAGGTCTTTGTCTTTCTACATATAAATACCATATTTAAATTTTTAAAAAAATTTATAGAAAAGACAAAACAACTTTGTTCCATCTAACTGAATGAGTCATTTAATAATACTTCACTATACTAAGCTATAGACCTGAGCTGTCCACTGATACCCTCTAGACATTTGGCTACTTAAAATTTAAAAATTTAGTTCCTTGGTCATACTAACCACATTTCAAATGCTCAACAGCCATATGTGGCCGATGGCCACTACAATGGATAGCATAAAGACAGAGTATTTCCACCACTGCAGAATGTTCTAGCAGACAGTGCTGCAATGAACCATTTTCTGGTCAAGAGTGCCTTGAGACAGGAGCCACAGGTTTTAACTCCTTTGCAGAGAAGGTTCTCAAGGAACATTTTGCTTTAGTTCTTACTTCTTTTAAAAACTGCTTACAGGTCACTAAGCTTAATAAGATTCATATAAAGAATCAACCATAAGCCAAAGTGATTAAGACAAAAACCATTAAAAACATGGAAGCGTGCTAGGAGGAAGCAGGACCTCCCTGAAGGTCCCTCCTCCACTCAGCCAGATACAGAGAATCCAGGCATGGTGGGGGACAGGGTTCTGCCACAGCCCCAGGACTGGTGAACTTGAGGTGTCAGCTGATCCATTTATTAAGTTTGAATCCATTCAATGTTCACAACAATTGGGAGGTAGGCGCTTGAATTCCCAGTACAGAGATGAGGAAACAGGCATAGAAGTTGATAATTTTCTCAAAGGCACTAGAGTACAGACGGCTATTAAAACCCATCTGGGGGTTCCAGTTTAAGAGGACAGTGTAGGAAGATCCTGAAGGCACCTCTTCCTACAGACTCACTGAGACTACAGCTATACAGGGAACAATCTCTGAAAGAGAAAACAAAACCAACAGGCTGCGTGGCTCCCACACAAGAGGCAAACAAAAAACCCGCATGAAAGCAGGCAAGAGAGGACGAGACACAATCTTGCAATAAACCCCACCCCAGGCATTGTGACCCACCATCAGGACTCAAAACCCCACAACGTTTCTCCACAAGAAGCAAGAAGGTTTGAATCCCATATCGGCCACCATAATTTTTAAGATCTACACCTGAGACGAGTCCCCAAGACCTCGAGGTTTGAAAACGAATAGGGCTTGAGACCCACAAGGCTACAGTGAATGGACTAGTTGTTAAAGAGCTTGCCTGTGTGGACCCACCAGCTCCAAGGCTCAAGGCAGAGGCAGCCAATTGCAAAGTCCGGACTTTCTGTGAGAGAGGCTTATCTGGTTATCTTTACATACGGCGAGGGGCCTACTGAAATACTCTCCAGCGGGCACCATCTTGGCTCTCTCCCTCAGTCTTGCTCCAACTCACTAGTATCTCCCAGAAGGAACCTGAACTCATCTGGGACCCAAATTTTTATGGCTGCCTGCCAGGGGACACCTCTTGGTTGCTGGCACCGGTGGCCAGCAGGACTTATGTTTACTGGTAACGTAGGACTGTAAACAAAATGGACAGATCTATACTTCAGCTCACCCAGAAGAGAGAGAATCAAAAGCATCTAAGTCTTGATTTCAGCTCAGGTCATGATCTCAGGGTGGTGAGATCAAGCCCCACTTTGGGCTTCATGCTGAGCACGGAGCTTGCTTAAGGGTTATGGGCATTGGGGAGGGTATGTGCTATGGTGAGTGCTTTGAAGTGTGTAAATTTGGCGATTCACAGACCTGTACCCCTGGGGATAAAAATATATGTTTATAAAAAATAAAATAAAAAAAAAAGATTTTCTGTCTCCCTCTGCCCCACCCCCCAGGTCATACACTATCTCTAAAAAAACACAAAAAAGATGCGAAGTTATGACCAAAATAAAAATAAAAACCATGAAAATATGAAGTATTAGACTATCATCAATGAAAATGAACAATCTAGAAGAAATGGGTACATTTTTAGACTTATATAACCCACTAAGACTGAAGCATTAAGAAACAGAAAATCTAATCAGAGAAATTACTAGTAAAGAGATGGAATCAGTAATAATAATAATAATAAAAGGTCATAAGCTCCTTGCCATCGGTCTTGGTGATAATTTTTTCGGATCTAACCAAATGCAAAACCAAAAAAAGGAAAATAAGTCTGACTATATCAAACTAAAAAGCTCTGCATGGCAATGGAAGCCATCAAGATGAAAAGGCAACCAGCCTACTGAATGGGAGAGAACATCTGCAAATCATGTATCTCATGAGAGGTTAATACCCAAAACATAAAAAGAACTCCTACAACTCAGTATCAGAAAAATAATCTGATTAAAACATGGGTTGGGAATATGAATAGACATTTTTCCAAAGATGACATACATGAGGCCGGCAAGTATGTGAAGAGATGTTCAACATCACCAATTAAGGAAATACAAATGAAAACCACAGTATCACCCTGCCCCTATTAAAATGGCTATTACTAAAAAGACAAGATCTAGCAAGTGTTGGTGAAGATGTGGAGCAAAGGGAGCCCTTGTGCACTCTTGGTGGACACGTCAATCAGTGCAGCTGTGATGGAAACCAGTATGGAGGTTTTTCAAAACATTAACAATAGAACTACCATATGATTCAGTTATTCCACTTCTGGGTATATCTGAAGAAAACAAAAGCACTAACTTGTAAAAGTATATGTACTCCCATGGTATTCAAAATAGTCAAGATATGGAAACAACCTAGGTGTCCACTGATGGATAAGTAATAAAAATGTATTTTTACCAGCGGTAATAATACAGTAGAATCACATTCATAAAAAGGAAGGAAATATTGCCATTTGTGAAAACATGGATGGATCTTGAGGGCCTTCTGTGAATTGAAATGTCAAAGACAATATTATATGATCTCACTTGTATGCTGAATCTAAAGAAAACCCAGAATTACCGTGGTGATCATTTTGCAATACGTACAAATATCAAATTATTAGGTTGTATGCCTGAAACTAATATAATGTTACATATCAATTATATCTCAATTTAAAAAAAAGAAAAGCCATTCAGAAGCCAAATGCTGTTTGTTGTTGTTGTTAGAGAGACTGAGTACACGAGCAGGGGTGGGTGGAGCCCAAAGTGGGACTTGATCTCGTGACCCTGAGATCATGACCTGCACTGAAATTAAGAGTCAGATGCCTGGGGCGCCTGGGTGGCTCAGTGGGTTAAGCTGCTGCCTTCGCCTCAGGTCATGATCCCAGGTCCTGGGATCGAGTCCCACATCGGGCTCTCTGCTCTGCAGGGAGCCTGCTTCCCTTCCTCTCTCTCTGCCTGCCTCTCTGCCTACTTGTGATCTCTGTCTGTCAAATAAATAAATAAAATTTAAAAAAAAAAAGATTTAAAAAAAAAAAAAAAAGAGTCAGATGCCTAACTGAGCTACTCAGGTGCCCCAAATGCAGTGTTCTTAAACCATTATATGAAACAACCGTCCTGTTTATTTCCAAGAGTTTAGAACCTTTAAGTTTAAAAATCAACATATTCTATGCCACATTCATTGTTGTTTGACATTTGCACTGGGCCAGCCCATTGGTTTATATGTGTTTGCCCTCTGTCAGCTTTTCCTTGGACTTACATGTTAATGACTATGCTTTTCATAATTAGGGTGCCATTCCGTCTCAGAATTCCAAGTGTTATACGTTACATAGTGGCAAGAAATGAATGTCTAACTGAAATCATGACCCGCTTGCCTTTACAGAGCAATGCAAAAGAGAACACATTTTTCTTTGGCAACTCTCAGGTATACAAATGGAGCATATAATGCAAGGACACTGTCGGAAATCCAATCCATCAGTCACCCTAAAACCTGGCTCATTTAACTTAAGATCAGTTTGGATCTAAAATTTACCCTTGTATAATACTTGTAAGAATGCTGACTCATAATTGATTATTTCCATTTGTGTCCTTTCTGAAATGTCTTGTAAGCCCACTGGGGACATACTTGTTGGGCAATTCATCCCTTTATGTTTCACTTATTATGTAATCTTATTTCCTTAGAATCTAACACAGTTCACATCAGATATTGCCATATTTGGGCCGTCATGTTTCCCTTATCATAATGTTTTCCATTTGCTAAATTACTTAGGAGATTTTGCAGTTGATGATGCAACTTTCTGTTAAGAAATCACTGTGTAAATACAGAATGAGAAAAATCTATTGTACATGTTGGTACAAAAGTGCAATCTGCCCAAGGATGAAAACCCAAGATAGGTCTAATGTCTAACAAAACAAAGACAACGATTAAAAAAAAAAATCCTTCCTATGGACTTCTAATTCAAGATGTGGGAAGACCCTGAATTCACCAACTCCACAGACACACTCATTCTCTTCCTCCTGAAGTAGAACTAAGTGCTGACTGAACAGGTTCCATACGAGATAGACCACATAGAGAATGGCAAGAAAGATGGAGACAGAGTCATGAAGGGACTTTGCCCTCCCCCAACACCATGAACTGCAGCAGTTTAAAAGGGCAAC